CTAATTACTTTTTGCACGGTGTATCCATTTATTTTGTCTTGTGCTTGATTCTTAAAATTCTTTACAACGAAAAATTATCATATGATCCTTGTTTAGTGCACACAAAGCAATTTCCATTTTGAAATTGTTTATTTCGTGAATTCTACGAATGTTGTTAATTTTCTCAAGCGCAATTAAAATAATTACACGCCGGGGTGAAGTTGCGGCGAGTTTGGGATTCATACAGGATAATTTTCATAACCGGCCTTCATAACCCATTTCCACAAGGACCCTCTGCGAGCACCAAACAAATCTGTGTCCTTTCAGAGGACAAAACGCCATTCAAACCCAGGCCGCTACCATTACTACCTGGAAAACATTTTAATTTAACAAAAATAAGTGTTATAAGTTAACTTTTTTCTTTTATTGAAAGGTGGCGATAAAGTGAAGATAAAAGCAGTTTTAGCGCAAGTTTATGTTTGCGTTGAGATGTTATCAATAATTTTATGATTATGCCGGCATAGAATTGCCGTATTGGCCGTTAATAAAGCGCATCGAATGGAAATGCGTTTAATGTTGCGAAACACAAACAGCCAATGACATAACAAGACACATATTTTATTCAGATCGCGCGCGAACGATCTGCGATCATAAAATGGCCATGAAATCTAATAATATATCGTGAACTATCATAAAAATTCCTGGAATATTGCGAAAAGTAGAAACAAATTTTTATTATGCGCCAAATACGTTAAATATGTATGATTATAAACTATTCAACAGCAGATGGCGCTAGTTGTTATGCATACAGTTTCTATGAATTGTAATATTACATATTTGATATGGAGTTTTAGTAATTCTTGGTTCGCAAACAATTAAAGCAAACGGTATTTAATTAAATTTAATTAAACCGCACACGCTGAAATCCAAATTGAAATTTTCGTCCCTTGAACTGAGAGCTGAGGTCCTCTGGGCGAGCGCTGTTGTGAGACATTCGAGTGGAAACGAGTCGATGATGGTCATGATTATGCGTTCTGATGCGATATGACAGGATTTGTAGCGATATTAACGCGGCACGTTAAGTCCTTTGTTTTCACCCTGATTATTATAATTGCAAACCTGCGCATTCAAGTATGCCGGAGAAATATTAAGAAAATATTGCCGACGCTGTGATCATCGAAGCGAATTTTTAATTATCAAAATGGAAAAATCCAAAGAGGCTAGAAACTGAAGAGTGTCCTGAAGCGTCAAGGGTGGTTTTAAGTTTAAGTAACTTCAGCAATGCCTTGCAATATTAACGAATGCTGTGTCTTTGGCTGGTCTTTTTCATCACGACAAGCCTTCTTTAGAGTTTGTCGCAAAGAATTAAAAATACTTAAATGAGTACCCTTTCAGTATACGTACAAGAACACCACAAGAACCCGCCAAAGATATTTATTTATTTATTCATGGAGACATGTACAAGTGGATGAAAATTTTGCTGAAACTTGTAGGCGTTTGTGTACAATGTGTCGAAAACATCGCCGGCGACGCGAACCGAGAAGAGACATAAAGTAGCCGGCTGATAAGACCGCAGAACACACTCGAACGCGTCGGGAAAATATATAAACACGACGGTGGGCGACGGGGGAATCTTATCTGGTAATTAGGAGAGGGTCGGCGTCGCAACAGCGCGCGCTCCCGAAGGTACACAAGGTGCGCCAACCATCGCGGCCATCATCATCGCGAGTCGGGTTTATGTCTTTTTCAAATTACTTAGTCTCGCTGGAGAGAACAAACCGGAGTATTAAAGCTAAAGCAAGCAACGCAAAGAATATATAAATGCAAACATTTATTTGACAGTTTCACAGCTACCTGTTTGTAGGTGGCGCTATATTAAAATTTATGCTGGTGTTAAATTAAATCCGCATTAAAGTTATTTTCACTCATGCGTAAAATACGTAAAGTAGATGAGAACTATGCGAACTACTTAGTGTTTCACTATCGCCTTGGCATTACTTAGTGGTTACAAGGCTTAGACATCCCTCATATATTTTGTATTCGATTATTCCTCTTAGTGCTTCCCTTAGCATACCTATACTGATACACTTACTCTGTACTAAGTTCTGAAGGTAAACTTTGAGCATGTTGCATGAAAAATATAGTTTTCAGCACTATTTTAGAGGATGAAATTTTTTTCTGCGAAGTAGTTTGGAAAATAGGTTATTAATCTTAGAATGTTTAGAATATATTTTTACTATATCGATATGTTTGCATCGGTGCATATATACGAATATTTTTCAACCTATAAAACGCGTTTTAGAAAACAAATATTAAAAGTAAACTGTAAATTTGGGTCATTGTTGTTTGCATGCATGCTTTGCGTGAGTGTATGGGGTGTGCACGATTGTCAAAAAGTGACATAACCTGAAAAAAGCGTTCCTGCAACGGGTGACAATTACGGGCAGTATGTTACCCTTTTTGCGGCGTAGCATAGTACTGAAAAATGTTTAGGAGGATTGAAGTATTTGCAATGAAAGTTATTAAACGTTGATTTATGTTGATTGGCATTCAACTTTCAACTTTTGGACTTTGGAGAAGATGCGACCTTTGCGCTGTCAATTCCGCATCGCAGCAGGTCATCAAATGCCACTCGCAGCGTGCGCGCGTCGATTTCGTCAATTTATTCGAGTTCATAACGACCGCGCACGTTGGATATTATCAATCGCATACCTGGCGGGTGCTCGCGTGCGCACAGCGACAGCGATAACCCATCATAAGTTGTCAAATAAAGTTCAGAAACCAATTATCCGTGGACAGGCTGGATTGATTGAAAACGCCAATCACACTCGGCGTGCCAACGAGACATCATTCGAGACGTATTTATCTACATCTATAACTCTATACAATGCGTCCAAATCTAAACAAAATTTATTTACTTCTACAAACTTCTCTAATGGCCTCCGAGAATGATTTTTCTCTTTTTTTCCGTTTACGCCGAATAATACTCTAATTACCTTGGGCGGTAATTAATAATTCACGTCTAAATTCCTGGATTTACGGATTTTCTCAGCGTAAAAAATCCGAAAAACAAAGTTTACCAGAACTTTACGACGGATCACGTTTTCGGTTCGATAACTCCTCAAACACAAGCCGCCCGCAAGTCAACCCAACTCAAGTGCGAGGAGAAGAGAAGACGCCAACAGAAGACGAGTTTATGAAAGAATGGCGCGCCGAAGGAGAGACACGAACGAAAGAGTAATCTAACGGTGTCTTCAGAGAGACCCCCATCGAGCACGTCAATTATATCCGCACGGCTCATCTCTGACAGCTCGATCAATCTGGCGATTCGTGCGCGATGCGTGCAATACGGCCGTCCGTGTGATGGAGCGAAAGCGACGTCATGAAGTCATGAAATCATGAAATCATACGAGCACGAGAGCACTACAGTGTGGTGCGAGTTATTAATGTTGGTGCTTTTTAGTGACGACGTGTAAATAATACTCACATTATCGGCGGACAACACAGAGAAAAATTACATGAGTGTGGCAGTAGATTACCAAACTTTTTTTAGAAACTCTGTCACTGAGTGGATAATCTGTTAGGATTTGTATTAATTTCCGTGAAGTTGATAAACTGGCGTTTCTTTTGAGCTGGTATAATTGGTTGCCTAGATTTGAGCTAGTAGAACAGTCAAACAGATCACAAATCTAATTATCAATTCGGTAGCGTTTGGTTGATGCTCTCCAGGGTTCCATAGGTTGGTACAATCAGCCATCATGCGATCGAACCATCACAAGCACGCCAAAATTTCATTCGCCGATATTTCGGACATCACAGACGCATTATCAGCCGCTCTGCGACGATATCGTCATCATCAAACGGACTACGCGATTAATTTAATTGACGCGTAATTGACGCATTTGTGCGCACAAATCTATTATGCTCCCTGTGGCTCTACCTATGGGCAAATAGCTTACACATATCAATATTGTATTAAGAAATTATTTTTGAACAGGACAACTGTATTTTGCAGATTTATAATTTATAATTGATTTATTAATTTGAAGGCAAATTTGGCACAGTGTTGAATATTTAATTATGGATGGAAGACAAACACGTGAAAGCTTTCTCGACGCATGCAACCGCACTCTATAAATAATAGGAATTACAGCAAAGCACAATAAAATGTTTGCATAAATTATTATTCACTTGCCATGCATATGAACTAGTTACTTGTTATTACATTGTTTGTTTTAGTTTATATTTATTTTTTTAAAACGTTTTTCTTTGAATATTTTGTATAAATGTTTGATACGTTGGTATAAAACATTATAACCACAAAGTCGGTTAGTGTCATTACAATATATTATGCAAAATAAATAAAGCGTAATGAAACGAGCCAGTTTACGGCCTGCCACTCTTCCACATGCGCACATTTAATGCCGTCGTCGCGGAGGAATAACGATCGGATGCACTTTCAGAATACTCGCGAGCGTTCCATTTTTACTTCTATCATATTATCATACATGTGACATTCACTCGACTGCAACAAACACGGCAGCAAACGCAATTAAAGTTTTATTTTTGCGAGGCGGTAATATATTTATTTTGATGGCGTTTAAATTTGCATGCAGAAAAATTAACTCTGTTGCTAGTTTTTTTTATTATTATTGTTTTTTCCTATCGTTCTGTACTGTTTGCTGGGGTAAAACATACATCTGTAAAAAAGCAATCTATATTCTCTTTTCTTCATGCCGCCGTTGCATAAGAAGCACATTATTATCTGCCGGAAGAGACGCCGGCGTCAACGCGACGAAAAACTAACGAGAAAGACCGCGTTGCACGTATTTAACATTAAATTCTTATCGTTGATGGTACTTTGCACTTTTTAATAAAATATATTCAGTTCACGAGATAAAGTCTAAAGTGGAGATAATAAAGTAATATAAAAAATACCTTTTAATAAACGTACCGACCTCTATTTTTAAAAAGTGAAAGTTAAGTTGAGTGGGAGATTAAAATATCTCAGTAGGCGCATGTGCGTCGCACTCAACAGCTGTTTGTGTTATTGTTGTTTTGTTTATATGGTTTTGCCAGTGCCTTTAATTGTTGAAACAGTTTCGCGATGACATAGAATGTCATTGAAATTTAACGTGTTTTGAGTTGTCTGTGAACGTTCGAAATTACCAGTTTCTTTTTTAGATGCCTTCCGTGTTGCCCGATATTTAGCTATACTTCTAACCTCGAAATCATCACAATGAGTAAAGGTGTTAAAACGAGCGATACGCGCTACAGTCAAAAGAAGATTTCGAAGTGATTGCTTGGCCTGGTGATTATGGTCTTGCTTCAATCGACGTGGAATGCAATAAACTGATATTGTACATGCGGTTCATGCAAGCCAAGTTCAAAGTGACGCACCCGCGGAATCCAGCGTGGAAGAGTGAACTTCTTCCGGGTTTAATTCAAAATGATTATCGGACATCTACCTACGAGAAATGCGTGGAAGATTTACGCTTTCTAAGATACAGCCTGGATTTCGGTCAGAGTTTTCGACGCTGCAGTGAAATACATGCTTTCACAGTGATGACCCATCGAATGTTGGGACCTATAATGGAGTATATGTATTGGATAAACCCGAAGAACCTTAACGACTGGACAAGACTCTGGTACAGTAAGCATGTACCACCGTTGATGAGCGTATGGTACATCTATCGAAGAAAGCAGAAGGCTGTAGAATTGGTCAAAATTCACGAGAATATTGACGAATCTCAAGATTTTTATATGAAGGAATATTTCAAGAAACACGCGAAGGAGTGTTTTGAAATGTTGTCAGCCAGATTGGGATCAGGCGATTTCTTCTTCGATACTCCATGCTCATTGGATTGTGTTGTCTATTCGTACCTGGCTCCATTGATCAAAATTCCATTCCCATCCGATGAAGTATCACAAATTCTCCGAACATTTAATAACCTGGTGGCGTACGTGCATCGAATTGACATTAATTACCAGCCAGAATTAGTGGAAGATCGACTGAAAATGCTTCCATTAAAGAAGCCCGAGGAGGACGATATGGCGTCGTTGAAATTGAAGATTTTCTCTAGTATTTTTGTCGCTTGCGCCATGTTCGGTTATGCGCTCGCCAATAAAATTATATCATTTCATTAATAAATAACTTTTCATTTGATTCCATTGCAATTGGATTGAAACAAAAATTTGATCAAAAAGTCAAACAGAATTGTTGTTTTTAATCACATTTGAAATTAGCAATTGCGTGCACCAGTTTTGACGAAATAAACGTTTGATTGGATGTGAAAACTGCAACCAACGAAAAAAAGTGTAGGAAATGGCAGCAAGCACACAATGGATTTTTAGTTTTTATTGAATTACGTGTTTGCTCGATTGCTCGAGTGGCAACATCCGGCCTGGGATTATATAAACATGCAATATTTTCGCAATTTGCTCTCGCGGTGGGTGCTCGGGAGCGCAATTTTCAATAAATATTTATTTGCGATGAAAACTGGGGCGGCACACAAGGAGCACTGCTATTGCAATATTAACCAGGTTATTGAAAATTTAAAATTGTTTCATAACTTGTTTCATTACAAGCGTGCACTATGTTGTTGAGAACAAAAGTTCCCTCGACATTTTCTTAATTCAACTTTTATTTTGAGTCCTGCTAAGTGAAAGTTTAAAAGAGTTTTGATTAAAATTTTATGCATTTCGTTGATATTGTAAATATATTCCCGAGAGGTTTGAAAGCTTCCTCTTTGTTGGGTGTCGGTTAAGTGGGGCGGCCGTGGTCATGTATCAATTTTGAAAGATTTAGGGGATTGCAATTCAAATTAGCGATTATTTCGCTCGCGCGGCCATTTCCAGCTTTTCTCCTTGGAGAGCGTTCGAGGAAAGCGCATGCAAAGCGAAAGGAGGAAAGATCGAGATCCGCACTCGGAATCGTCCGTCCTGTAAAAATATTTAGAGTAGCCTAGAAACATTACAAGCCCACAGAATGAAATAGCAATGCTGGCTTGCTGTGGTAGGCCGATAAATTTTTGATGAATCACCAGTTTACGTTTTTTTCGTTTTGAGACGGTTTAATTTTTTTTTCGTGATCGTTTGCAACAATACCGCAGGACATGTACAAGCGTGAGCGAGCGCTTAGCGCATGCATAAATTAAAAAGTAATTTATTAGTCGGGAAGTGTACAACTCGGGGTTAAATGTATTGTAATTTATTTCGCAAATTTCGAATGAGTTTTAAATTAGTTGAAAAATGTACCAAACTATAAAAGCGATTTTATTATTTTTGTTTTACGTTTTTAAAATTTGTGGATTACTTTTATATGCAACGCTTATAAACTGTTTGAAATGTTGTAAAAGTTGTTGCAAATGACATTTAATTTGCACGCCGCGCGCCGTTTAATTGAAACTTTTCCGCCGCTCTGTTATCAACGGGTGGTCACCCTTCTTTTTTCTTGCACTATCTAAATCACTCTACAGTTTCCATTTGGAAATCTCCACCTCTTCAATACGACCACGTCTTTAATTTCTTATATTGGCTGTAAATGTATTAATCTATTAAGAGACACGAGGGTGCGCAAACATGCCGCCCCTACGGATGCAAGGGGAATACGTTTTTCAAAGCTAGAGGGTAAATCAAAGCAAAAACTTTCACAGAAACAAAATTGGGTTTGAAATTGAAAATGCTAACTTATACATCGATTTGATTAACTTTATAAGTATTTTGTAATGTTTGACACTAGATGTCTTTTCATAGCAATCCAATTTGCTCGCATACTTTAGTTTGATAAATTTATTGATTGAATCACTAGGTTAATGCTGGCGAAATTACATTTTCCAGCGGTTTAAACTCAATGAACTCAATTTTTATTCATGATCATCGCTTTTCACCTGCACAGGCTGTAGTTCGTTCTCAACGCGAGTTCAAATTTAAATTAAACGTTATTATCGTTTGCGCCTTGCGTCTGGCGTCGGTAATGGTTAATGAAGCTGAAAATTGTTGGTGTTTTTGAAGCGTACGTCGGTCGGCGGAGGTGGTGGCGGCGTCGGCGGCGTCGCGCGCGGCTGTTACAAACTGCGCGTCGCGTCGCAGTCGCATAATGAATAGCGCGTGCATCGCGAAATGTAATTAATTAAACCTATTAGGGAGATGCAGGCGCTTCGCGCCCAGCCTCGCTCCGGCGCGATATTCAATTACGACAAAGTTTGTCCTACATCCGAACATCCGCCATGTCGACATTAACAGCATCCCGCGCGTTAGGAGTGTCAAACGAATAGACTTTACGAATCGCATAAAACACTCATTACACCAGCAAATAATGACTTTATTTTACACAAACATGAATAATTATTGGTATCAACATTTAATGATAACAGTGTTATAAATAAAAGACAGGGACCACGTTTGTTACTGATTTGTTAACGAATGTTTTAGTTGCTTAGTTTGCAGATCGAGATAATGGGTGTGTTTGTATTGTTTATTTAAAGTAAATATTAAAGCGTCAAAAGTTGAGTTTATTCCTCTGAAAATTACAGAAAAACAAACGCGCAAATTGGCAATTCATTCACAATATTTATTTGTTCCCTTTTGGTTTCATGTCGTGCAGTTATTCCATGAATATATTACAAATTGTTTCAGATATAGAATATTCCAACGGTTAATATATTTTGTGACTGATTTAGTCCCCAAACAAACATTAATAGAATTGTCATTATTATCATCATTATTTATCGTTTATTATGATTTTACTCTGAATTATAACATGGGTTTAAGCTACGGAATACCAAGTAAGTTCTTGCGCTGATAGTGCTCTTGTGCCGAGAAGTGTTTCCGCGCGTTGTTGATATTTTGATCATTTTGGCTGAGAACCAGCTGTAAACCACTTGGAATAGTGTGCAAATGTGTTTGCATTTCAGTTATTTATATCCACATCTCAGACCCACGGCGAGGCGTAAACGCTAACGTTTACGATGAGCGCAAAACTCCAGAAACGCAAACACCAGCCGCTGCTATTTCCGGTTTTCGATTCCCGGAATAGCGTATTATGCACAGGATATTCATGATCATAAACACTTTTTTATTATTCCAAAACATTCCTACTCTCATACTGCGAATTACCTTCTATATATAAACTTTGTTTTCATTTTTGACTACCTACTCGACTGTTTCAAGTTGCGACAAAGTTTTACATTACCTACTCCAATTCTGCATCCGTGGTTACCGCTATTGTGTGCGAGTATGAGCGTGTGAGTCTATATAAATAGATTCAGGTGGTCGGAGGTTGCAACCTAATTCTGTGCGGCAATACCAAATTTCCAGTGAATTCAAACGCTATCGATGCTTTGCCAGTTTAGGAAGCTTCGCATGCCAAAGCTTTCGATGCATGCGTCGATACTGACACCGGGTTACGAATTGGGGAAATTTTCACCTCTACTAGCGTCGAACGAGTGAACAAAACGGAGCGACCCTAATGGCATATCTATGTTTCACGTATTATACAGTTATAGAGTGGGAAGACCTTAACCGACCCTCCAACGTACAACGCCACCTACAATTTCCACGAAAATTTTACATGAGTTACCACTATTTACCCGTCGGCAACTATTTATAAATTCAGATAATTCAGAAAAATGCCTCCAATAAATATTTCTCCTAATTTGGAATTCGGAATTCCTGGGCAATCCGTCATTCCGTCGCACGTCACACATCATCATACTTCATATGGATTTTTTTTATTGTAGTGTTCTCTCATATTTAAATGCGTGACGTTTGCATCACGAGCATCACACAAAATATGAATTATTCCAATGAGTTATTCCGATCCAACTGCGCGTTCTACACGACTCGTCTTTTCGGCTGCCTGCGTTCTGCTCTTTTCATTCGAGTTCTTGAGCGTTGCACCAAATACACGAAAAAGGAAGCGTAAAAAGGCATCGCCGCTAATGTTTATGTATGTAGTTTTACGTACGCCGACGTACGAGTATTTTGTTATGTACTACATGTTACTCTTCTGCCCCGGAGCGCTTTCTTCCTTCTCCGTTTTGGCTTTTGTTCCTTTTCGGATCGCGTACGACTAGCCTCGCTTTTATTTTCGTGTTTGCATAAAAATACTGCCGACGAACTGACCGAAAAAATGTGTACGGCTTTCAAGATCCGGCGTGAGTCGGAGAATGGAATACAAAGCGAGCGGTAGAAGGGGGCGGTAGGCGGCAAGTGATGTCTAAGGATCAAAAAGGGTTCTTATATCTTTTGGCCGCCGCGCTCGTTTTTTCGTTTGTGTATGCGTTTGTTTTTCATTCGGAAAATCCAAAATGTTTTATTATTAGTTCAAAAAGTTAAGCACCTCCTATGATATTATTTGCGCATGTGTGATAGTTTAAGTTGACTTTTTAAAGAATTTAATATTTACATGTGCATTTATTTAACTTTTATAAATTAAAAGTGTGCTCAAGTCTCTTAATATTTGGTTGTGTTAAAATCTATTTTGTTTTCTGTTGTTGCAGGTATGTACCCACAAGGCCTTAGTGTCGCATTCTGTTTAATCCAATTGCGGGTTGTAATAAAGTGCGGCGCCGGCAATGTTCCATAAATTCAGAGAGCGCGGGCGCGTGCACTCTGCGTGCACTCGGCGCGCCAAACAAACGCGCTTAAAACAAACGACGAACGCACCTCGCCGCCCCCAAGCACCACGCACACAGAATTCAGCACGTCGACGTGCAGGTATTTGTATTATTTCACACATTCAGGCTGGGAATTTTGCGTCGGCCATCAACGCTTTTTTCATAAAGTTATCCCATTAGGTGATCTCACCATGGCACCAACACTGTGAAAAAATAAAAATATATTCATAGAGTACACAATAGCAGCGTGGAAAAAACGCTGTTTTAATCTCGCGTCGCCGGAGGACGTTGGACAGCGGGGAAGTGGCGAAATTTATAGTTTAAAAGCGTTGTTTGTATGCATTTTTTCAAAAACGGAAATAGTCGCGCGGTGCACTCCGAACGTCCGGCAGAGAATGCCCAGAGAGGAAATACGAAATGTGAAAAAGGGAAACTCGTCGAAAAAAACCATGCATGGCCAAAGCGTTGCTTTGTGCAAAGGAACGAAATTTTGGTTTAGCATCCTGCTGCGTGAAACCTCACAGCCCTTCGTGTTTGAAGGTTAGGG